AATAAAGGGGTTCTTATCAGTCATTGCATTTATAAGGGTATGCATTTATTAATCATTCGCCCACGCCTAAACAAAGTGCATTCAACTCCAATTAAAAGTGCAGTGTGCAGTGACAAATCCCGGCTCTTTTTTGCGTTTATTAAGCCGCAATAATTCTGAAATTTCAGGTTTTGGACTGGGTGTTTTTTTTGGAGATCAGATTTGGATTTAAGCGTTTTCCACCTCATCAGATAAGCTCGCAGTGCATTTCAATTAGTTTAGCGCGATCGGACAGATCCGGTTTCGGATTAGCCAAGGTGAGAAATGCTGCACACCCTGCGAGCGGGTAAGTACGAATGGCGGGTTGCATCACCAAACCATATGCATATGGATTTGTAATCCATGCGATTGCACACGTGCCAGATAGCAACAGGCTCTTTGCTATTTATTATTACGAAATGCCTTAATGAATGAAACATTTACCTGAGTCATCCGTTCCCAGAACTGGAAAGGAATGCCACTTACTATTGGCTAGTGGGCTGCAAATATCAGAGATCATAACTGGAATGGCATTTGACAGTCGATATTATGCAAATTGCCGATCTAGATTCAGTGGCGAGAGATCGTAAAGTCAGACGCTGACCTTAGATTGCGTGAGGTTTTCAATTAGCAGGCGAAGGCCCCTGATAAAACTGCCTTCAACTTGTGTGAGAAACTAAATTTTTAGTCCCAAGCTCAATGGAAATAGCAACGTAGATAATGCAATTTTAAACAAATTCTCAGCCACTTTCATATATTTAAATTCAACGGTTATCAGCTGGTTCGAGTATTTTATAAAACGGTTTTGTAATATGATCAATTTGGTTTGGGTACTTGGTGCAGCTTTTATTGGTAGGTTCTTAAACCTGCTATTTTTGTTTCATTGCTTGTTGTTTGGTTCCTGTCCCGACTGAAGCTTAAAGCTTATGATACCGCAATTGAGCCCAAATGGTTTGTGTATAAGCTAAAGGGACTGTCCACTTTTCTAAAAACTGATTATATCAGACACTGAAAAAAATTATCATTGAATAATTAAAACTTTGTTATTCTAAAACTAAGAAAAAACGGAAAATCTACTCACAAAAATGTTGAAAAGGTAAGTAACGACTCAGCCACTAAGCCATGTTTTGCTTTATATAATATCTATTATTAAAACATACAATTTAAGCCCTACATTATTCAAGCTAAATTCAAAATTTCTAAATTGATATAGTCCTGGTTGGCCATGATGAAGGCCTTGTGTGCATTCACTTGTATGGCCAGATCCACAAGATTCGTATTGCTGAAATAGTCCATGGCCACAACATTGGCATTATTGCCCCAAGGACCTTTTAGCCACTGATTAACCTTGGGATTGAGCACCGCCGCTCGCTGCTTGGCGGTCAGCAGTTGGTGGGCGTTCAACGTCTGCTCCATGCTGCTCACCGCGGTGAATATCCAGCCATCGTCCCGCACCGGCGAGTTCGGCTTTTTGCTGAACAGCAGGCGCATATAGTCCAGGGTCTGCGAAATGTTCATAAAACTGCTGCTAAAGCGTTGCCACGGCGGGCAGATCAGATTCGATTCTGGAAAGGATTTTTATAGAAAGTTAATGTGGACTTAATATTGTCGATTGTTTTTAAAGAAAATAATATTAGCCTGTGCATTAGAATAAAATGTATTTGGTACTTATTTGTAAAGAAGGTATTCCATTATCCAAGGTATACATAATACAATTTTTAAGACCATTGGAAATAAAAATAGATACTTTTCCAATTTAGTTAACTAGTTAACAACTTACCGTTCTCCGGATAGGGTAATTCCTGCGAGGGGAACAATATCACTAGATGATGTTTGTTCTGCAGCAGTATTTTCCGGAAATTTCGATCAGCACAATGCTCGTTCTTGGTCACATTGCGCCTATAGGCCTCATCCCCCAGTTCCTGTCGAAGAAGGCGGAACAGCGAACTATAGACTTCCGGGTGCTTGTAAAATCCAATGGGAAAGCTACTGAAATCCAGCACTACCATCTCGCCAGATCGCTTCACAAACTGACGAACATCACGAAGAATTCCAACCAAAGGTGTTATGAGCATGTTCTCGTTGGCTATCCAGAAATTATCCGCATCGTTCTCGGTGTTCATGTTCTTGTAACTGACGGGAGAAACCATCATAATTAGGAATCGTTGTTACCAATATATGATATTGATGAATTCATAAACACAAGGAAGAACGCTTTAAAAATATTCTTAGAACCGTTGCAAAGTTTCGGTACTGCGTTCAACAATTGTTTCGGAAAACTTTCCTTCCTTAAAAACCTTTACAACTCGAATATTATTATAAAACTTTAATCTAACAAACAAAACTTAATTTTTCTTTTGAAACACACGTGTTTTAAAAATTTTGTTTTAAATGAATGTTATTTTAAATTTTATTTTTATGTTCATCTAATATAGGAGGTTATTTGCTTAGCCGTGACACCAATGTGTTGTTATGTTATGAAAACATAATCTTAGGACCAATGATAAGTTTCGTCATTGGGTTAAAATAACGTTTAGGAACAATTTAATTTCTTTAAAGTCGTTAAAAGTCTATTATTATCTCCAAACTTTAAGAACTAGATTTTGAGTGTTTTTTTTTAATGGACAAACCCCCTATAGGGTGTTCTTAGTTCTTACTCCTTATTTACCCTTACTAAACTCACCCTATACTAAAATCCAGATAGCGAATCCCAAAGACGAGCTGCGACCAAACATCGAATTGTTGGGCCACCAGATAGTCCCTGACCAGGATCGAATTTGTTTTGCTGGAGCTACCAACCACGGCACCCGAGGCATGTGTGCCGGGCAGAAAGATGTTCTTCAGCGGCATCTGGCTGACGTCCTTGATATGGGCCATCCAGTTGGGCTGGATCTTGAGGCAGTCCACGGTGAGCAGCTCAGTGCCATTGTAGCTGGCCACATAATGAGGGAGGCACTTGCCCGTGGGGTATTGGGTAAGCGGCTGATCGCCGTCATCCTGCCGATTCCAGCCACCGGGGAAATGAAGTTTACCCAGTTTTATGGGCGTTATCATCTTACCTGTGCTATTGGCTAGCCCATCGATGCGCAGATCGGGCTGGAAATTGGAGATGGTCGGATCCTGGCCATAGATGCCCACCCACTGGGGCGGTCCATAGCAGTTGGGACCCCAGTTGATCTCGAGAAAGGTGTCCTGCAGTGTCTTGCCAGTAAGCGAAACGGTTAGGTATACAGGACAGCCAGCTGGAAACAATTTGGTTCAAATTTAAGGTGAAACAGGGATACATTTCTCAGTAACCTCGAAAACGTATCTGTGTCTATAACTTTGTTAAGACTTGCAAGTTATCGAAGTTAATACCCACCTTCCAGGGAGCCAATCAAAAGAAGTGACTGCAGCAAAGGCATTACTAATATTTTCACTTTAATCATCTTTAAACTTGACACTCAATTAGAAATTACGTGCACTCTGAATAGATTTGGCGTGTTGTTTGCTCGGCAGCCAGTGCCGAATTGAGGCGAGAGATACGTTTCTTTGCATTTGTATCTCAAAGCCCGACAATTGAAGCAACCATTTGTGCCCCCGCATCGCCATTTGAGTACAGTAATTGAGCGCTTTTCGCATTCCCAGCTTGGAGATCGTTTGACCTGAGAGAGACCAGTACGAATGGAAATTATATATCGGAGCAAATACTGCGAAACAACCACTCCGATGTTAGAATTTAGTTAATTAAGTATCAAAATGAATCAGGGGCTCATCTATAAGATAAGCAATTTCAAAATAAATGTGCCTCCAGATGGCGCCAGGTGCAATTCTATGAGCGCGAGCGCCACCTATCTCTACTGTTAGTGCACACTGACCATTTAAGGCATCCTAACATTAGTTAGAAATAGCTTTTAATATAATAAACAGATTAAAAAAATTTAAGCTATGCAATTTTAAGTAATTAATTTATTTGTGCGATTTGTAGGCGCAAGTGCATTTCAATTTTCATTTTAATAAAAGGCGACAGGGTAAGAGCCAGAATGACCAAAAGAAGTCCAAGTGTTCAAAAGTCAAAAAGAATGATCCTTCCGTCCTAAAAAAAATAAATGAGAAAAAAGGTTCAATAGTTTGACGAAAGAAACCTAGAAATGATCTTCATGATTCACTCCAAAGCCCTACAGATTTTTTAAAATGGTGCACCATGTGCATTTTTTCTAGGTATATGTAACGATCCTCCTTTGGCTGAGGTAGTTCAGCGGGATCCAGCAGTTCGATCCAACATTTATTTATGTCAGATGTGGTTGCTGTAAGAGAATCCAACCCGGCCCCAGAGTATGCATCATCTTAGCTTAAGTTCGAGATGGCTTAGAGACCACTATTGCTAGGTAAGGAGACGGCTTAGACGCCGAGGATGGGTTCGGGAATCCGAACGGCGATCTTTTATTCCCATTTGAATTCTGTTCTTCAGCCTTTTATTAACTTATGACTATATAGGGAACTTCATGACTATTTCATATTTGTGCGCTTACTTAGCGTCACAATTTATTTCCATGCGCCACAATTTGTAGACAATGTAACACATATATGCTAAAACAGACATTTTTACCGATTCCTTATTTTAATTCAGTCAATACCTTTTAATAGGTTACACGTGCCTTACTCAATGCAGTATGCGGGTTTTACCAATATCCAGGTTTTTACGTATTGCAAGTGAAACAGCCGAATTAAATTTAGGTATTATTGATATCAACATAAATATATGAATAAAAAATGATGTAATGTAAATTATTCTTAATATATATAACTTTTTATTATAAAATTCTGTAAGCAAAAAATTTTGTTTATATTTTGGGTTTGAATTATTGAGAAAACAACCAGTTTTATTTGTATTATTTTCAATTTATAAGAGAAAACGCGGTGTGAATCGTATTGTGCAGTTATAGATCATAAGGATTTTATTTCATTGTGTCAGATTTCAGCGTTTGGTTGGGATCACAAAATTAGCCTCGAGGAACGCACGCAACTTGACAGGTCTGCAATGTGCAGTAGCGATTCCTGTTGCCGTAGCAGCCCCTGTAACTCATTCCTACGCATTGTCTAGTAGTCGGATTGTAGTACCACATGTTATTATTTGGCTGTGGAGTACAAGGAGCTCCTCTGGGGGCTTGCACCGGTGATCCTTCATCCCTTCCGCCGTTGCAGTTCTGGGGGTCTGTTTAATATTGAATTTAATATTTAAGAATGATAATGTGAATGTTCTCGGTTTACAACTTACTAGGACGTCCAGGGCAAGTTTGAGCAGCGACAAGGCTTATATAGAGGACCAAGCTGACCAAGATCGAAATGAATTTCATGTTGGATAGTTTATTTTCGACTGATCGATTTGAACTGATTTCTCGAGTACTGGTATAGGGCTTATATTGAACAAATTCGGCTACTTACCACGCCTTTGTCAATAACGATGAAACAATTAAAGTTATTTCGAAAGAAACGATCGATAATGTACTCCATTTTTACATACAATTGTTTCTATTGTTTCTGAGCTTTATTTACTGTTCAGTCAACCCTATTAAATCCAATATATTTTCTTATTGTGCTATTTCAAAATATATAATGGTTCTAAAAGAATCGAAATGTGTGTTTAAATTATTAAAACCTTACAAATTTAACTAAAGGTTATAAAAATCGATAAAACAGAGAGTTTTACAATAGATTAAGTATTTGCTTCTTTTTTTTTTGTAATTTTTGTTTTTAGGTTACAACTGTCGTGTAACATTTTGATTGTTTTTAAACCATTCAACTCGCCTTATGTGCTTGCGGCCTAGAGTTCGGTTTACAGAGGATACAACTTCGGTATTTATAAATACGTAAATAACAATTTTGGGAGGTTTTTTGGAGTTGTATTTACAAAGATAAATAATTTCTATTTATAATAAAGACCAAAAGTTTGAATATCGTTTTCAACTGATTTCAGTTAGAATAGATTAACCTTAAGGACTTATAATATACTTAAGGAATTATAATACACAATGTTCTTAAGCCTAAGACTTTTATATATCCGTTACTCATAGTGCACCGACATTCCGAATCTTTAAAACTGAACGCAGTAGTACCGCTACTGACCGCTAGGTGCCGTGTCGGTGGTGTATGCGACGCACCAATAGAAAAACCCTGTAGTTTTATTTTATTTGAAATTTGAAATACATTCAGACATTCAGACTATAGCCCTTCTTCTTGTTTTCTCTACGTTAAACTACTTTTCGAAATAAATTCAGTCTGTCAGTCCAAACCTAAAACCTATAAAAATACTATTATTTATTTAGGACCATATCATACTCGTTACTCGTAGAAGAAAAGGGTATTTTTTAGTCGTTGTGTATGCATGATTAGAATCTTTAGCCAAGGTGATGTTAGCCATGTCAGTTGGTCTGTCCGTACGTCCGTATAAACTTTGAGATCTCGCAAACTGTAAGATCTAGAGTTGGGAATGCACAATTTATAACGATCACAAATCTCAATAATCCACACTTCTGAAAATTGGTTTGAAGTTTAAACTGGAATTTATTTTAAATTAAAATAAACAAAAAATTTTATTTGTCAGAACCTACATTTTTAATCTTTAAAACTTTACCCGTGCTTTAAAATTTACTGATAAAATAAGCATGTAAACTAATGTCAGAAGGGATGGTTTTATTATATTTCTTCAAAATCGACATCAGATGTTGTCCTTTTAACAATCAATCTAGAAGGCGTCTTTATTTTAAAGTTGGTTGAAAGAGTAAAATCAATAGTAATAAACTAAAGCATTCCTTCTTCTTTTGTTGATGTGTATAGTATGTAGTATAAATTAAAAAATCGTTGGAGGGTTATTTTAATAATTTTCGATAACTTTTTTTTATTTTTTTAATTCTGTTATGTCATCTTTCCAAAATCCAAAGCCAGGACCACAAAATAATTTTTTTCAAGAACCTCAGCGCCTGCATTTTTCAAGACAGTCCTGGTTGCTGCAGTAGCGGTTGTTGTTGCCGCCACAGCCGCGGTACCTCATCTTCTCGCAATTCCTGTTGCGGCTGTTATAGAACCACATCTCGTTTTGGGAAGAAGCGCCGCACAGACGTCCATTGCTGTTTCCCTCATCCCGACCGCCAGTGCATACCTGGAAAACTGAAATTTTGTTGTCAGTCATCTTGTTCTCACCCATTTGATCCTTTTGTACTTACCAGGACGTCCTTGGCAAAAGCGCTGGGCATCGATATAAGCGATGTACAGAGCGAGGCAAGCAAGGATCATGAGGAACTTCATTTTGAATATCGTACTAAGCTGTTTGATTTCAACTGTTTGATCGTTCGATTTGCAGAGCTTATATAGGAATGTCTACTGAAATACCACCGAAATTAATGCTTTAAATTTGTATTAAAACAATGCTTCTTTTAAAGCTTGTCCCAGATTTTTAACAATAGCTGTAAAACAAAATTGTTTGCTTTTTTCAATAAAAACGTGGGCTTAATTTATATTTGGAAATCTTTTGTTCTTGATTTCTTATTTTTTTAATTGCCCAACATATAGTATCATATTCATGGGTTATAAGACATGAACAAAATTCATAGGTGTTCTACTTTTGGGAACACGTGTGAACTGAACGTAAAGGTCTTACAGACGGCCTTGTTATTACAATGCCTAAAAAACATATTTTTTTGACAATAGGCCAAGGAGGCCAGTAGTTCCTGGTAGATCTGACCCCTAGATCAAAAAAATAAAGAAACAAGCTTTTAAAGATAATGTAATTTTGAATCTTGATCAACCAATTCAGGTGATATATGTTTTTATTAGAAACTATAATATTTTGGACAAAAATTCGAGACGTGTTCCATTTCAAAGTTGCCTTTCCAACGAACCGAACAACCCAACATTTTCAATGCAAGTTCGGTAGAGGAACCCATGACTTGAATTTAAGAATTTATCAACTTAAGAGGCCTATTGGCAGTATTGTGTTTTAAATTATAATTTTTGTTCAAAATGGGTATAAGATGTAAAATGAAATAAATGGCATTAGAGCTGGCCAATTTAAAATTAACACTTTTTTAATATTTTATTTAATTTTATTGTTTCAATATTCTAGACCCTACTCACTTCTTATATTAAATCTTATTGGATTAATTCTTGTCGAAATTACATTACATTTTTAACTTTAGTTAAACGGATAAATCGTTAAACACAAAGGAGTCTTATAGTACCACGCTTCAGAATTCGAACTACAAGCACTACCCAATCCAATGGCAAATCCTTAATTTATATTACAGCTGCATACAATAAAAAGACTAAAAAAAAAGAACTAAAGGAAAATTTACGCTCATCCTACTGATCTGTGAATTTTTCTCGACTGCATTTGACACCTCATGAAAAAGCACACATGAATAATGAGTACATTGATCCAAAACCTTTTCAGTTATACAAATAATATAAACAAATTAGCTGTCAATTAATTATTAAAACATTAGTTGCTGCAAGGCAGAATCGAATCACAAACAATACATTTTAGCGCTATATCAGGCCATCTAAAGATATTTTTAGAACCTCGCAAAATATAATCGGCAAGGAAAAATGTACATATTACAATAAAGCTTATTGAATAAACCCTTTATTCAGTTTAATGCACGTGTATTTTTCACAATTTGATTCAACAGCAGGCAAAAATAAAAAACTAGACAGATCTATAGTCGAGTGTCTCGACTATGATACACCCATTGTTTAGTGAACCAACTTAACCTATAAACTAATGTTCCAACTTTTGGAACGTTGATAGATATTGACAAATAAACAAAAAATGAAACAAAAAACTCAAAAAAATATGTGCCACAAACTCTTCTATCCCAAACTTCTTCTACCTGTTACTTACTTTTCCCCGAATAGAATATACCCATTTCTCTATGAGTAACGGGTATAATACATTTAAAAAAACGAGATTGTAACTTAAACCAGACTTTATAAAGGCCACGACTCCATGGTTGAGGCTTTATTCTGATATCGTAATATAAGGAACGAAGTTTTCTGCCAAGATGCGGAACGTCACATTAATTTTCATTGCAGTTGTTGTGGTTCTGTACTTTTCAGAGAATGTATTTGGTGCGACAAGATGCAAGGGTAAACCTAGTAAGTAGATTTTTACGGAAATTACTGAGTGTAGTTTCATGAGCATTTTTTATAGGGACTCCAACGTGTATTGGGCTACCTGATGTTGGTAATAACCGCAGAAGAAAGTGCAAAGATACGGCTAATAAGGATATGTGGAATTATAATGCAGTGACTAGAAATTGCACTAAACTGAACTACCTAGGATGTGGCGGTAACGATAATCGCTGGTGCACAAAAGTATTATGCGAGACCTGCCGACCAAGAGTATAATTGTAAAATAAATTTAATAAATAGACAACATTAAGAACAATGCACAGTGTGCACAAACAATTTTATTTTTTATGTTATCCTCCACAATTTTTCGAGTAAAATAGTTTTTAATGCAAAGAAATGGATCTAGGAGTACAGTCCAATTTAATCGGGAATCATTTTTCCTTCATTTGTATTACCCCTGTATGTCGGAATGACTTCAAAGTGTTTTCGAGTTATTTGAATTAGGAATCAGAAAGCATTAGCGCATTGACACACCAAATGCTTAAGTATACAGATAATAAGCTGTCATTTAATTACTATAATATTAGTATACTGCCAGGCTGAATAAAAATACAATCAATATTTTTTATTTATTTATTTAACCTCGGAAAAAATTCTCGACAGGAAAAAATACAAATAAATGTATTACAATAAACCTTTTGTTCATTTTATTGCACGTGTATTTTCACAATTTGATTCAGCAGCAGACATTTATAGTTTTATGCACAATGAAAATAAAAATAGGTCACTGAAAATGGGCTTTATAAAGACCCTGACACCAGAGTTTAGACCTTATTCTGATATCTACATATAGAGAAAGAAGTTTTCTGCTACGATGCGGACTTCAACATTGATTTTAATTGCTGTGGTTATGGTATTTTACCTCACAGTAGATGTAACTGGAGCGGCAAGATGCAAGGGAAAACCTGGTAAGTGGACTCTTACACCAAGATTACAGAGTAAGTTTTCATTCGTAACATTCATAGGAACTTCAAAGTGTATTGGAAACCCAGATGGTGGTAATAATCGCAAAAGAAAGTGCAAAAAATCAGCCAATAAAGATATGTGGCATTACAATGCAGTGACCAAAAACTGCACTAAAATTAATTACCTCGGATGTGGCGGTAATGACAATCGTTGGTGCACAAAAGTTTTATGCGAGGGCTGCCGACCAAGATAATAAATATTTAGATTATAAAATAAATAGTCACCATTTAGAATAAAACACAGGGTGCATAAGTTATTTTTCTGGTTTATTTGATTGGTTTCCTCTTCAAATATTGGTCGAATTCATCTTTTGAAAATGATAACCAGTTCATTTGAACAACGCTAACAAAAGCTAATAAGCTTGGAAATTGCATTACGTTTATGATTATCACTAAGTTTAAGTACAACAATTCTTAGGGCTAAACTTCAACCAGTTCTGTACAGGCTTAACATAAGTAACTAGTTTTAAATAGTTTATTTTTGTGCGATTTTTCTCGTTTATCTAGAAATTTTTTACAAACATTGCTACAATTAATTATTCGATTTGTTCACTTCGCTTCTGGTTAGCTATTTTCGCATTTGTTTTAGTGCTGTTGTATTCTTTTTTTGTTTTAACGGAATGCGGGCGGTATTAAGTTAAGTATTAAGTATTTGATTTTCGTTGCACAGGTACGCAATGATATGTAAAGGCAGCTGATTATCAATTTCATTCTTACTGATCTGAGGTAGGCATAAAACAATGTATAAAAAATATAAAAAAAAAACATTTGCGTGGGGCAATTGAAACAGTCTAGATTCCACACAAAAGTACCATCCTAAGCGGGCCATAAATTATCAAATAAATTACATAAACATTTACGTTTACTAAGCATAACTATCTATGTAAACTAGGCTAGTTTATCAATATAATATAAGTAAAAAAACATAAAAACAGTCTTGTGGTTGCATTTGTGTTTAGTTTCTCGTTAAGCAGATTTCATTTCTTTGATTGTGATTGCAGAATGCGAATGATAAAATAAAAAAAATGTGAATGTGAATACGAAATACGAATACGAGTTGCAGTTCGAGTAGGACTATAAATAAATTCTGCTTAATTACTGGGTACTATGCGCATGTCTTTTTCTTGGTGTGATCTAGGAATTGGAGTTCTCTCCGCTAATGTGAGTGTGTGTTTTTTGGGGGTGGAGGTGGTGTATTATGCGATATTTACAGAGCGGCCCCACCTACAAACTATATATACAGGCCACTTATTTACAGTAGGGTGGGTCGAGTTCTCTAGACCTAGAAAAGGCCACAAAATCGTAGGGGATTACCATAGACTTTTAAAGAGGTTAAGAAAAAGTTTTTAAGTATTAGTGAACACTAATGTTTTAGGTATGGTAAGAAGTAAGGGACTTCCCCGGCGATTTTTGTAACTTTTTTGGATCCCCCCAAAATTTACAGGGTATTTGGTGAGCCTAGTTGGCCTGCTGCGTCAGCAGGTTGACCAACTCGGTGCGCTCCATGTTGTTGAGCGTGTGCATATCGACTCCTAAAGCGGCGGCCACCGCCTCGATGTCCAGGCCAAAGGCGGTGAGCAGCTCCAGGAAGCGCATCTCCTCGCCGGTCATGGGATTGGTGAGCGTGGGACAGGAGTGGTTGCACTGCGGCCAACTGCATCGCTCCAGGAGGCGCAGGCCGCACTTCTCCGGCACCCGGGGCACTCGCGGCCTCTTCTTCGTTTTGGTGCCCGCGGAGGCGTTGTTCGAGGAGCGCGTCTTGAGGGGATCCACCTTATCCTCTGGTACTACACCAGCTGCTCCCGGCTGCTCCTGCTGATCCTGCTGCTCCCGCTGAGCCTTGCGGCGCCTCTTACGCTGCTCCTGTCTTTGTTCCGGTGTCAACTGCTGGCGACGCCGCTGTTTCCGCTGTTCATTGCCATTATTCGACTTGGGGCTATTGTTCTTCCTATTCCGATTCTCCTGCCCTCCATTGGCCTTCTTCCTCTGTTGCTGCTGCTGCTGTCGCTGGCGGCGCTGCTTCCTCCTCTGCCGTTGCTCCTGGCGCAACCGCTTCCGCTCCTCGCGCTCCTCCTTGGTCAGGTGATTGTGCCGCCGCTGCTGCCCTCCAGTTTGGGCCACGTTGTTCTGCTTCTGGCGCTGGCGGTGCCGCTGGTGTCTTTGGTTATTGGCGTGGGGCAGCTGGGAGACCGCCGTCGATGGTTCCGTCGAGCGTTTCAGCTTGTCTTGG